AAGCTATGTGAAGAAAGGGTGTGGATTATATTTACAATGAATGGAAGAAAATTATTAAGGAAAAATATTATTCAATGCTTGATCCCAAAGGTAGATACTTGTGTGCACCATAATTTAAGAGAAAAGTTTAAATACATCTTTAATCCGGTCTTTAATTGGACAGTGCATTTATGTCAACACATTCAGTCAGTCTGTCTCTGCCTGTCCACCTCAGCCTCCTCCAGCTAACCTGGACAGCATGTTTCTCTACATTGAAGAGGTGATTGACGTGTCCAGTCGACTTCTCAGCCTGCTGGACCAGAAGCAGATTCAGCCTGGAGACCCGCTCTTCTTAGAGACACTCTGTAAGGGACATCGCCTAAGACTTGCCTCTTCCCATGATAACATGTAGTACAGCTTCTCCACACGACTCTAAAATGAACAATCTTTCTTACTTGTATAGATTATTCAAATAAATGCACGGTGCAGGTTATTTGACATGAGTAGGACAACTGTTTGTTTATGTTTGTCTGCATTTAGACTTGTTACTTGCCTTTTTGGTTTCCTTACAAAAGCAGAAATTATGCTTTACCCAGTTGTTATGCTCAGAATAGGTAAATGTGTTTTTCCTGCCTGACAGGTGACTCATTCCTCAGCCTGTCTTCAGACATTGAAGCAGCCTATAGGGAATACCTAGCCAACTATAGCAACATTACACTGGTGGAGAACAGCTACAAAGAGAAGGAGGCACTTTGGAACGACATAATCAAAGTCATTAAGACCTCGGTGTAGGTTTAAATCATTTTCTGTTGATTCACACACTGACTGTAATAAAATGTGACAACTGCAGTAGAACAAGTGAGTGCTGACCGTTGCCATTCATCTCCAGACCTGACGTAAACGCCACCTCTCTGACTTTCTTCCTGGTGATGCCGGTGCAGAGAATTGCCCGCTACCCCCTCCTGCTGCAGACCATCCAAAAACACACCGACCCAACTCACCCAGCTTATGAACTCCTGGAGAAGACTGCTCACACCTCTGTTGCCCTAAACGTTCACATTAATGAGTACAAACGCTTCAGAGAAGTCGGTGAGACAGTTTATCATCAAGACTACTATTACCATAGTGGCTGATAGTTAAAATATGTTAATGTCTTATGGTATGGTGCTGGTAGGGACTGATACATGTAAAGCCAGGGATTTAAATCCCTATGTAGCACAGGAGCTAGAAGAAGGCAGTAATGCTTCTATGAAGCTATGTGGGTAGAAAAGCACCAAAGTACAAGATGCAACTACTGGTCCTTTAACTGCCCCTCATATCTGAACTGTAGCTGACAAATACAAGAAGACAGAACCACTGAGCATCAAGGACAAAATCAACCGCCTCAACACCCACAGCATCGCAAAGAAGACAGCGAGGCTCAGCCAGCAAATCAAGCACGAGACTGGAATAACACCTAAGGTAGGACAGACATTTATGGACCCTATTTGTTTGTAACTGGCCCTGACAAATCACTGTGACTTGTTGGAAGTTAGGCATTACGCTCAAGAGGAGAACCCAACCCATGAGAAGCAAAGAAGAAACTTACAACAGCTTCAGGAGGCTTTTATCTCAAGGTTACTCCTCTAGTCCTCTGAGCCATAAAAACCTTCTTGCACACACCCTTCAGTTAATAACATACAGTCTGATATGAACTGTTATTGAGCCTGCTGTTTACTCTGGCATGCTGCTCCTCACATGGCTACACTTTTCATTCCAAGAGGAAGAATGGGTTGTAGACGTGTGTCTAGAAAAGATATTCAGAAAACACACTGATGACACACATACAAAAGCTCACTTCAACCATTGTATATATTACAAAAAAGAGTGATAAGAATTGTGCATAAGATGGGGTATAGGGATCACACCAATGGAGCTTTCATACAGTCTAAATTGTTAAAATTTTTTGATTTAGTGGGATATAAGACTGCTGTGTTTATGTATAAAGCCAGGAACAATTTATTACCTGGTGGAATTCAAAAACTATTTAATGAAAGGGAAGGGGGATACAATTTAAGGGGTCAGTTAAATTATAAAATTCATGCTATACGTACAACCAAAAAAAGATTCTGTATTTCCATAAGTGGGGTAAAACTATGGAATAATTTAAGTGTAGACATAAAAAATAATAATAGAATTGACGAGTTTAAACATAAATATAAAGGTATGTGTCAATCAAGATATATGCAAGAACAGGCTTAATGATAAATTAGATGGAACATTGTGGGTGTGGTGTATGAATGTTAACACTATGTAATAATTCTTTAGTATATTATGTGTTGACATATCAACTGTCTTTACATGCTTGAAAGAATAAATCAAAATAAATCAAATGTATTAAACCAGTGCATATAAGGAATCTAAGATTTTGTACAAGGGGTTGTAATGATTATTTCAAATTGTATCATCAACATCATCCTGCAGATGCTGATCTGACTGAACGATCGGCTAAAGAAAGAAAATTGCCGTTCTCCAAACATAGGAAACTTTTAATTTTGTTGTTTGCATTATATTTTAAACATCTAGTTTGAGTGTTTTATACATCTGCACCAAAATACCTCATTCCCTAGTGTTAAAATCTCATTTCTTTTGACTTTGAAAATAATGCACTGATGACTAATTAGAGAGATTAGAAAACCATTGTGATGATTTTTTTCTTTACAACCCACTGATCAAATCCCAGTAGCTTTGTTTTCAGGTTTTGATATGCAGGTGAATAAACCAGCATTTTATAACGTGTGTCTCCCTGTATGTTCTACTGTAGCTGGTCGATGAGGAGTTTGATGCCTTAGAAGGTTTATTTAATGTTCTGGAGCGTGGGATCCTGGATCTTCTTGAGAACGTGGAGACATACCTGCATCATCTTCAGGTAAGCTGCAGCTGTTTGACATTATGCTAACAAACAGACAGATAATGTTATATTGTAGACATGTTTGAACAAGGCACTAAAACCCAGATAGTTCCTGGGCAGTTCCTCACTGGCCAGCTGGACAGAGTTACACTGCAGACTGTCACATTGGCTGTAAACCGTTGCTCATATCTCACCTGAGTGTTCGTATCGTATATAAGAAGTGGCCTGTATAACAACTGAAGACACCGTCATGTCTCTGTGCTAATGTTTGTTTTCAATGCATTTTGGTTACAGGTTTTAAATTTGCTGACTCTTCAGCTTTGCAGGTCTTGTCAAGGAAAATAAAGATATGAGAAATATAGTGTCCCATGTCTTAGGAAATTACGTTTTGTATCTTTTTGCCACATACATCATTAAGAAAATTTTGTCCAATCCCACATATGCACTATGGGTACACCAAGCAACAAGTTGTGGGGTTAAGTGGCTTTAGAAATTCTACAGGTTTAGTGTAAGGGTGAAGCGCACATTTTAATTCATTTTCCCCGATTTAGATTTTACAGTTCCATAGACTTAAACTGGCCAGTTTCATGTGATTTGGAACTGGCACCTACCTGGATATTTATTCCTAAACATGTCATACAGCAGGTTTATGAGTCACACTGTGTAAACATAAACCCTCCTCAAGTCTGTGAGGTCAAACACACGAGTTTCTTTGTATCTTTCCACTCTTAAATTATCCTGTGTGGAAACAGTTTTTTTCCTGTTTCTATTCACAGCCAACAAGTATCTGCCTTGTATCCCCCTCCTTTACCATATTTTCCTACTAAAACTAGGACAGGTTCCACAGTGAAAGCTTAAAAACATAACAGCAAACACTGATGAAATTAGTAAATCCACATCTTTCTGTCAGTCTAAGTTAGCAGAACAGAAATCTGGTGCCTGAGCCAGGTCTGACAGCTTCTTCTTTGTTGGTCTGCAGACGTTCCTGGCCTGTAAAACAGAAGAGTTTGACTTTGACATGGATGGAGAGAAGGCGCCCATTTGCTATAAGGAAATTGCTACCGCTCTGAGACAGTGGATTCTTCCTACATTTGTGAGTCTCAAAAAGGTCAAAAATCCAGCAACACGTCTAGTGTGTAGAGCAGCTTTATTGCAAGACCAATGTGTTTCAACTTGGAGCCTTCATCAGGGTTTGTACACAAGCATTGGTCTTGCAATAAAATTGCTCTCTACACTGCAAGTGTTGCTGGATTTTTTTTTACCTTTTCCGTTTAGTTTCCCTCATTTATGCACCTTGGCACTGGGTCAAGCTGTGCCAGACTAGACACCAGTGGTGGAGGTACGGTAGTAATCAAATTCTTTACTGATGTAAAAGCAGCAATAGAAAAAAATGTGTTCAGTATTTATTTACCTTTTAACTGCTTATTCATTCCTCCTCCTCCATTATAGCCTCTTCTGTTGGTGACTTTATTTATCTCACTGTGGCCAATCAATAAACCTTCATTATGAAACAACAGATATATATGTGGTCCTGCCTTCCTGTCCCCGAGTTTGACACTCATTACTCCTGTCACTTACCATTATTGGGTGTCAGACATAAAACTGTATCTGTCCTGAGGCTGAGGTAACCAGAACCTGTTGCTCTGATGACCCTAATCACTCCTTCTGCCCTTTTTTTTCCAGGAAAAGAGGATGCAGACGTTGATCCACAAGCCGCTGTGTGCACTCCGTGACCTCCTGGTGGGCCCAAGAAACCTGATTAGAAAGAGGCTGCACAAACTACTAGACTATGAAATGATAGAAGCCAAATCTAATCTGAGCTACGAGGAACAGGATGTGGCCAACACATATAGGTAGAGAGAGAAATGATTTTAAAATGACAGGCTGACTGTGTGGTTACATGGGTTACAGTGGCAGTTCACAGGGAGAGCCATTGCATCTGTCTGTAATTAAGTCCTTCCATGACAATGAAATCATCCTAGCAACCCTCTCATCAGTTGTCAAAAAGTAAACAAAATGCTTAGAGGTAGAGCAAACATCTTCACTGTAGGACAGGAGCACAGCTTCTGCTGAGCTTATGGCTCACAGCCTCATCACTTTACAATCGTTACAAAATTAAGAACAAGCTGCTCAGTCAAACAGTTCTTTTCCATGAAGTCCAGTCAGTCAGAGTCAGTGGAAAACCAGACCCTACTTTTAACACCGGTTATTATGAGTCATAACAATTTACGCAGTTACACACTTTGGATGTGTTTGCACAGCATAATGAAAGGGTTGAACATAATTTAATCCAATATGGATTTCAGTGTTTGCAGGGGTGTCAGTCTTCTAAAAGTTATCACTGATTTCACTTAACATGCATCAACATCTCTTCTCCACTCAGGACAATCAACACTCTGCTCCTTAACGAGCTTCCTCAGTTTAATGGCTTGGCTCTGCAGATGATGTGGAGCATGTTGGGGACATTTAACTGTCTGCACAGAGACCTGGCCACAGACATGGAGCAGCTGTTTCAGAGCTTTGCACAGCAGGTAAACAATCCTGTAATCACATAGGCATGATGTTTTGTTCTCTGACTGCCTACATTAATAAAGTAAAAGAATATGTTTTGACACCAGGTGTTAGTGAGTATGCTGTCCAAGACAGTGCTGAGCGTTCTGGAGATGTTAGCAGTGTTCAGTTTTAGTGAGGTGAAGAACTCAATCATTTCCACCTTATGCCCAGTCAATGTTCAGAACAGAAAAAAATTAGATCACCATCATCAGGTACACTAGTCAATCAGGATATAAACATTTATGACTTTAAATGCTTATTTTGTTTCTCTGTTTCATCCCTGTCTTCTTCCAGCTGCCTCACAGCTCTCTAGACCACAATGCATTCTGGGTGTGGGCAGAGTCTGAAGTGTTAGAAGGGGCGAGGAGGCTGGAGACTTTGTGTCAAAGTGTGGAGGAGACGCTCAATGCACCTGTTGTCCAGGTTTGGGAATGAAATAGTGCTGTTGTGTTACATTGTGTTTTTCTGGGTTGTAACCTGTGTGTCTTTGTATAATTTACTTTATTGACCCCGTAAGACTCAACTATAGTTTTGTAATCCAAAAATTAATGATGGATAAAATGTTAACAGACACATGATGATCAACAGACTGTAAACTAACAATACCACTGAAACAAGCTGATGTTGGACACCCGATCTCAGGCACACTTCCTTTTTTCACAACTAATCTCCACATTGCTCTGTGACCTGTTAATAAGTCTAAACAAAGAACTTTTTGGCTTTTCTGACTTTGTCACTGCATAGCATAGCGTACTGAATGAGCATGTTGCACAGTCACGTCGTGTTTTGCATGAGGTTATAATAACACTTGATTAGACGTTAACAGCTTCCACAAGGTGATAATTTGCTAAGTCATTGAAGCAGTTCATATCTGCATCTTTACATTGTTCATGAATCAGCCACAAACAACAGGGTTGGGAATGTTCTCCTTCTTGTTCTGCAACTTTTTAATCACTTCACACTATGCTCACATGTCAAGTGACAGTCATGCCTTCATAAATTCTAAGTTTGGCGTTTGTCTGCCTTCTGTTTTGTGCTGTCAGCCCCTGAGCCCGTCCTCTCAGTGCCGTCTAAAGCAGCTAACAGATAAGCACGGTTCTGGAAAGATCTACCAGGTGGCGGGGCCAGTTGTCGGCACCCGAGACCTGGACCTGAACCTGGCTAAAGGGGAGCTGGTTGCTGTCATCAGTGAGATTGACACCCGTGGTGACAAAAAGAGGTGGCTGGTTGACGCAGGAGGTATAAACCAAATATGTTCCTAATGGTAAAGATGTACTGTAACTCAGCAAAGCGCACTCCTATAAAAATGTTACCAGGAGTGTTAAGAGGAAAAAGTAAGGATACTGTTGATTCCTGTATAAATAAAATACTGTGATGCCAGTGCAGTGTTTCTTAAATGCAGCTCAAGGGTGCCATCTTTTGGCTGCATGCTGTTGCAATGAACAGCTGTGAAACGTTTACAGGTCTATTAGACACCAACAGATGAGGGTTAGAGTTATTCTGAAAATAGAGATGGCTTAAGCAGCTGTAAAATTGTGATTTTTAAAAACAACCTCTATTGTGAGAAGACATCACCGTTGTTGATATTTAACAGATGGCATTATATACATGTTAGAATAAATACTGTACCTAAGTTTGTTAAATAATGTTTGAAATAGTTAAGACTTTCTGGTGTTACTGACTAAATGATGCAAAGGAAAATCATAAAAAGGTTTCTCTTTACAGAACATGTACAGTTGTATGTGAATGTTTGGGGTCCTCTGTGTGAAATACTGCCCACTGTGTATAACACAGCTCCATCTTTTACTCTTGACAGGGATCATTTTAATCTGGGTATATCACACACAGGTAGAAGAGGCTACGCTCCGTCCTCAAAGCTGATGCGCTATCATCAGCCAACAGAGGGCCCACCCCCTTCGCCACACCTGACCCTACCTGAAGGTGTGACAGGATTCAGAAGACACTCCTACACACCGGAGACCCGGCCGCTGACAGTCAGGAGCCAGCCTGTTGTCCAGGTGATTCTCAACTGCATGTGCCCTCTTTCTTTTCACAGCCACAACAAATTTAAAATAACAGTGACTTCTGAAAATATTCCACTCTACTGTGTACGCAGGTGATCTGATCATATGCTGGGGCAACATGGGTGTTATTTCATTGGAAACTGATTATCTTACAACTCTAAATTCATGCAGTAGCTCCTACATTAAATGCTTAAAGATGCAGAGTTCATATAAGCACCAACCAAATGTTATGTGAAATAAGATATTCTGGCATCTTAACTAAGGCATCAGCCAGCATATCTCAGACCCTCATTAGTGTTTCATAGTGCTCGTACTTGTACTTGTGAAGGGTCACACATGGGAATAACACTAGCTGTGACAGGAAGCTCAGCTTGTTGTGTTTATATTATCTGACATCAGGCACCAAACAGCGAGCATGTGTGTTATGCTTTCCTAAATTTAACGTGACAGACTTGGTTTGTGTCTGAAGAGTTAACTTACTGTATGAATGTGACAACTACAGAAGCACCAACCTGCCACATGCCTGGATGTGCGTGTCCATGCAAGAAGATGGTCCTTGTGTGTCCAGTCGTGCAAATACATTCATGTGTGTGTCAGTATCTGTAAGAGAGCATCCTCAAGATAGTGCATGTGTGTCCATGCACATGCCTTGTTAATGGAAAGGTCCATAATTAGCTGTTTAACCTTGTAAGTAGGCTACTGTGTGAAGAGCTGGCAGTTAAATTATGTGATGCAGGACTGCAGGCTGAGATAGTGTGTGTGTGTGTGTGTGTGGACATGTTTTTCCTGCTATGTGGGGACTTCTTCCTGACTCCATACCAACTCATGAGGACCCATTTCACGGTGGGGACCTAAATTGAGGTCCCCATGGGCAAGAAATTGAATTTTAGGGTGGCAACATGGTTTAGGGTTAGGATGAGGTTAGGGTTAGGGTTGGGTTAGGGTTAGGCAAGTAGTGGTTCTGGTTAAGGTTAGGGTTAGTCTACAGGAAATGCATGTAAGTCAATGTAAAGTCCCCATGGACTGCGAAACATAAACTGTGTGTGTGTGTGTGTGTGTATGTGTGTGTTGTGAGATTGATTTACATTTGCAGCATGTTAGTGTGAGAGGGAAGTGTCAATGCAGTTTGTAATGGCTTATGTGGGCATGTACATGAAAGAGAAGGAGATGTAGGTGAGTGGCTGAGGAAGTAAGATTGTGTTTGGCATCAGGTGAGTGAATGTGTGTGAGAGACAGTCAGGTGAAAACCCAACATGGAGTCTCAGTGGGGAGCTGGGCCACCACGTGCCACCAGAACAGCTCCACCTTGACAATGACTCTACAGGTCTCTGAACCCTCCTGGAGGGATGGACACCGTTCTTCCAACAGATGTTCCCTCGTGGTGTTTTGATGATGGTGGTGGAGACGCTGTCTATCACGTCACATCTCCCATAGCTTTTCAACTGGGCTGAGACCTGGTGACTGTGGAGACAACAGCATCTGATTCACATTATACTCATCCTTCTCAAACCGTTCAAGGACCATTTGTGCCCTGTGAGTGGGGGTGCTGTCATCTTAGAAGAGTCCACTCAGTTATTCAGGTCTTTCCTTTAAGGAGAAGGATAATCACCTTTATTGGCCAAGTATGTTACACACAAGGAATTTGTTTCCAGTACAGAACTGAGGCAGCCATCTGCGGCGCCAACTCAACCAGTGGCTCTAACCATCGGGGGGCAACTTTGGGGTTCAGTGTCTTTCCCAAGGACACTTTGACATGTGGACTACAGGCACTGAGATTCGAACCTCGGTTGGGAGACGACTGCTCTACCCACCACACTGTCGCCTCCACACTGCCTCTTAACGTGATTGTTCCAGTGACCTTATATAGACAGTATTTACAACCCCCCCACCCCCCATCCCCCATTAATCCCCCATGACCCTTAGTTTGCTCATATACAAAACAAAGCACACCCCGTGTGCTTCTCTTTTCCACTGCAGACAATTGGTTCGAAGTTTTCAAAAGATTGACATGATTGTTCTCTTGCTACTGAGGAAAATAGAAATACCAACACAAAGAGGCACCATTTAGCTGCACCAGACGCCTGCTCAGTTCCATTAGTTCCATCAGAAATTTGACTGCAGCAAATATCTGTTTGGCTCAAGAAACTTGAATCACTTTGCAGCTGATAGCCATGGATGCTTTACTTTTTTCTCTCCTCCTTGTCTCTGCCTGGCAAAATGCTGATTAAATGCTAATTGGTGTGGACCGTCAGGGCAGAGCTGATGTCGTAGCTGAGAGGTGAGCTAAGGTGAAGGGTTTGTTAATGACACCGAGCAGCTGGCTACACTCAGCTATTAGCGCTGCTGAGGCACTCTGTCATACCAACACGGGGCTCATTAGGAAGCTTTCATTCTGTGTGTGTGCGCCTTTGTATGAGTGTGGTGATGAGATGGCCTTTGTCAAGACATAACTAGTGGGCTTAACCTTTTCAGAGAATATTACACTGATTTGTGGGTGTGATAGAGTGTGTGTTCACATTTATTCCTGTGTGTGTTCTCTCATGCTTGCTTATTTCTTTAGGTTGTGTGTTGTGCATTTTTAAGGCAGCGTGTAAGTTACACCCTCATTTACAGTAATCTATCTAATTAAAAATATAAGGACACTTATAAAGCTATCTGAAATTAAAGCTACTCTGACACTTGTGCTAACATAGTACAAAACATTAGCCTGTTACACTAAAATGCAAAATGTTTGTTACCACACTAACGAGACCAGGCAGTATTGTTAAAACCATTATTATCATGAACCCGTATAGTTTTCTAATGTCATGTTAAATCACAGATCACATTCCTCAGAAAGTTCAATTGCTACTCGTGTTAATTTAATCACAATTTTCCTTGAATTTCATTTTGTATAACAGAAACTAATATACATATAATTCAAGATCCTTCTGATCCCTGTAAGATTCTTCTGAAAGTTCATCACCAATCATATTGAGTTTATTGCACTTAGCACAACACTTAGCACAACACTTAGCACAACACTAGCACTAACTGTATGTATGTTGGTTTGCCAGTATGATACTATCCAAACTTACTGTACATGTCAGTATGTTAAGGTATGTACGTTAACCTACTGATAGCTAATATCCATACTCAGCCTGCTAAGTGTGAGCATGTTAACATGTTCACTGTTAACAGTGAGTTATCACATGATAACTCTAGGCATGTGAAAATATATGACAAAACCTCAGATGTCCTACGATCACTTTTTGCGCCAGGTAACATCATGATCGTTACTCGGATGCCAACCATAATTCTTCCGTCTGCTACTTGAAAAGATCCAGCCTCACAGGGGAACTGGCATACGCATTGACTTTTGTTTTTGATTCAGCATCCTTTCTTCCAGGTGCTGGCAGCCTATGACTTCACGGGGAGAGGAAAACATGAAGTGTCTGTGCGGGCTGGCGAGCCAATTCGTGTCCTGGAGCCCCACGACAAGAGGGGGAACCCTGAATGGAGCCTGGTCGAGGTGAGAGGTGGGAAAAAGGGCTATGTACCTTCCAACTACCTCACAGTCATGCCCATGGGGATGGCACCACCTAGCAGCTGCTCGCCCTACTTCTAGGAAGGAGGGAAGGTGTAACGGGAGCGAACAGCAGCATGCGCAATATCAGCATGTCCAAAATGATGAGGGGTTGTTAAAGGTATACAGCAGTATTGTCATATTAAGGCTGTGTCTGCTTCTCTGACCTCATGAAACAGCAGCATTGCGACATAAGTTATTTTGATTTTAAACATTTTATTTTCAAATACCAAAAACATGAAGTATCTTATGAAAAGAGCTCATTGAGCTGAAGATAACAAACAAATCTGTGCTTTTTAACAATGCAGGACCATCTGTGTCATATGATAATGCAACTGTGTGAAAATGGCAGAAAACAGTTGGTTTTAATTTAATGTTAATATATTTGACAGAGGTAAAAAATGAAGGAAGCAGCAGCTTTTGAGCAGTAGGGATTCACAACTTCTGTTTGGCTGCTGAGACGGAATTTAAACTTGTACCCTAAGAATGAAGGACAATCTTCTTGTTGCACTGAAAAGTGTTTGTGCTGCAGAGCACCACAGACAATGTGAGAATAAATTTGAAGGCGTGCGGGAGTCGGCTGAGTTGTATGAGACAAGTCGACTCATATCCCATGATCCTTAGCAGGAGAGAAGGACACTTGGATTGAAAGAGATGGACTACAGTAGTTAGCGTTTGTGCGTTAGCAAGCTAACTGCGCAACACACACACACACACAGAGTGAGAGTGTGTGTGCATGTGTTCTGAAATTGGCTGACAGGTGACTGTGTGTGTGTGCGTGTGCGCACTGAGTCGTCGTCTCCTCACCTGGAGGCAGGTGCAGCACTCTATCGACACTGACAGGAACACAGCGCTCTCATCATCTCCGATTGTATAATGTGATGCAAATATAAAATGTCTCTGGGACTGAGTTGAGAGCGACGAGGTGATGGAGATGTAAACAGAAAGGAAGGAATTCATACGGGGAAGAACTGAAAGAGCTGGAGAAATGGACTAGAGATGTGAGAAGTGATAGCAGGCAGGGAGGAGGCAGAGTTATTCTGTTAGTTTCAACCTGTTTTCCTTTCACTCTTCTTTCTTCTCTCTGCCCTTAAGCTGATGTAAGTTCACTCTTCTCATTGTACATTTCACACTGTGTGTGTAGAGGAAAGGTGTCACCGCTGTGCTTGAATTCTCTCAGTTCCTGTTACAGTTAGAGGCTAAATTGTGCCTTAAGGTTTAAATCATATAAAGTAGTACAAACAGAACCGTTTTGCTGTTTCACGATCTCCCTGCACTCTTAATGGTCTGAGTACCTCCTCTATTTTGACTTGTAGAGGCCAGTGAATGGCTCTTCTATGAATTTTATTTCTGTGCTTTAAACTTTAAGTTATATCACTATAAATGATGGGTTTTTTTTGAAGAAAACTCCAAAGATATGTGCATTAGGACTAAAAGTTTTTTTTGAAGAAAACAATCCAAAGATATGTGCATTAGGACTAAAATTACTATGGTGATGCCTTGCATCATGTATTTCACCCAGTAGTAGGGTGAAATAAGCATTTAGCAGCTAAAGAACCAGATGTTTTTGTCAGAAGTTGGTGATGACCAAAAAAAGGAGAGTGAACATAAGGTTACTGTCTTTATGTATACAAAATGTCAGCTAATACTAATGCTCTGTCTGCTGGATGTTTGACAGCTTGCTAACAAGTTAGCCATATCAAAAGTCAAGGTGCCAAAAATCCTGATAAGTGCAGCACAAAAGTCCATTTTAAAGGAAGCAACATTAAAGGCTTTGCTTTTCCAACATGGCAGCACCGTCTTCACGACCACTAATCTTTCCCACCATTAGACCTCTTGATACATGAGCGTGCTTTGCATAAAACTGAATCTTTTCCTGTTGGATTGTGCTGCATCAGCTGCAGTGGATGTGAAGCAGGGGGAGGGGGGCTGGGAGTCAGAGCCGCTCAGCTGGAGCTTAGCTGTTCCCATCAGCCTTAATGTCAGGGCGGAGGAGAGCTGCAGGAGGGACAGCATGCAAATGTGTGTGTGTGTGTGATGGTACTTAGATCTCCAAATACCAAATGTCCTCAAGATTATTAAGATGAAGGAAGATGAAGAAAAGGTCCCAACCTGAGAACTTTTTACTGGCTTTCACCTCTTCAAAGGTCAGTTCATGGGGAAAGGACGTTGTTAAAAACAGGCAATGGCATTAAACCCAGCAGTTTGGGACCTTTCAACTGTACATTTTGTAAATTCCCACTGATGACAAATATAAAGGTGCCATTGCTTTGACTTTAATGTTTTTGTTTTATTTAGTGTCCTGGTCCACTGGAAAACTAAAAATGTAGATACTGTAAAACTAAACTTTATTACACACACTCCTGACAAAGACTGAGAACCACATGCTGATAATATGCAGCCATGAGTCAACGGTAAAGTGTGGATTTCTCTGTTCAGTTTCTGATCAGAAATGGTATCAAATTTAGGAAATGTTTAGTGGTTAATGCAGAAACACAGGTCCTTACAGGTAGTGTGTTTACCTTCATTAGCATAGGAGGCAGTGTCCTTCACCACTCCACCACAAGAGGGAGCAGGTGAGCTGGGTTGGTTGTATGTGTATTTCACTGTGTAACTGGGAAGAGTGTGTGTGTTTCTGTGTGCGTTACCTCCTTTACCTGTCAGTATTAGTGCTTGCCTGTGAGCAGAGCCAAATATAATCCCATACATTCTGTTCCTATGATCAATTTACCTTTTTATTTTATTTTATCTGTTATCAAATCAAGATGTTGTTAACATGCAGATGATCTGGAGTTACAGTCTGCACAGCAGTTCTGTGTGTATCTTATTGTTTTCTAACTGTGTTTAGTAGTATTGTTGTGTTAACTTATTTGATGCAGCAGGGCGACATGACCTGAGATGACATGAGAAATCTTTAACATGTTGCCATATTTGTGATGTTGAGCACACACAGTGCAGCGGTCATTGCAGCTGTGTGACTGTGGCTTCAATAAACCTAAACAGAAACCTCTTCTGTGTCCTCTTGTCATTTCGCTAAAGTACAAAATGCATGTAGATATTTAATGTCAGCTGTACCACAGAGGGTAAATGAAGCACCAGAATTTAAACAGATATCGGCTGTAATTCTGTGAAACTGGAAACTTGTGACCTTTTGGACATCGGATCAAAACTGTTTCCCAACATGTCATAAACATCTGTTTGTTTGCATTGGCATTGCATCTTCTAGGGCTGTAACTTAGTCTGTGCACTATCAGTTTCAGAAACAGTAAGAACGATATACAATTTGGACATAAAACATCTCAGAGACAATTAAATATCAAAGAGATGCACAAGAACACTCAGTACTCCACACAGCTCTACATGGCTGTAGGCCGCTTTACAGCGCTCTAGAAATGCTTTTTATTAAGTTCATAGAGCTATCTTAACTAAACTCCTAATTTGGTAATAGCCATTTTTTTTCTCATGCCCTCTTTTTGAACACAAGACCAAAAATGGTATACCCAACATTAAAGGATTACAACTCTTGAATCCCTCAGGATCACATTCATGTCCCTGGTCAATTCTGAAGGGGAACGCTTTGTAGATTACTATCACATATTCAGAATTAGCCCAAGTTTAACAAACTTGGTAAAAATGTCAAATTCCTCACCTAATTATTATTATTGTTTATTTTTTCAGTGTAAATATGTGTCTGTGGGTGGGCCTGGCCTGGTGAGCCTAGAAACACAGTGGAGTATCAGCCACAATGGTAGACAAATCCAGGTCAAAGTTTGATGAAGAAAGTACTGAACTGGCCATGTTCAGTTGTTCTATCAAGAATTTGTCCGGGCAGACAGCACAGTGTCTGTTTGGAGACAAATATTTATTATTTATTAATACTGTTTAGTTTGATGACATTTTATTAAATCAGGATCAGATCTGACAGGATGTGAGTGGTTCTGACTTCCAACAGACTGTGAAGGCCGGTGGAAAGGCCCAAACACCGGTCGGCCGACCGCAGCTTTAGCAACATGTCTGCTGTGCTGAGCCAAAATGACAGACGTATCACAGTGTCCCATGAAACGTACATTTAAAGTTTAAATCCCAGTAGAAAACAAGCAAACCAGACAGCATCTCAAGGTTAACAATGGTGGTTTTGTGGATCTTTCTCAAGGATTGCACACCTTAGAGCTAAAGGTTTGGGTTGTTGCTGAGCTAACTGGCTAAAGCTACCGGATGTAAACACCCGACAGAAAAGGTAAGCCATGACTGTTTGGCCCAGTATGAACCTTTGTTTAAAACTAATCAATGGGTTTTCTCTGAAAGTTGAATCTTAAATTTGTCTACGCTGTAAAAATCCTAATGCGTCGTGGTTTCTAACAGCATAGCCTAAACTTTGTTAGCAACATGGCTAAGCGGGCCAGGTGTGTTCCCGGAAGCTGAGCCTTTTCTCTGTCAGGTAAAGTTCACCTTTTAGAGATGCGTGGTTTTCACATGACAATCATGGGCAGGCTGCTGTTTTTCTGGATAAATAAGAATTATTTAAGGGGTTGTAAAATGATTGCTAATTAGTTTTATACTCTATCAATTAATTAACTTGTATATTTTCTAGATTAACTTGTATATTTTCTAGGGACTTATCCAACAAATATTGAGGTTGTAAAAAAAAGGATAATAAACAAAATTGAATTCGGTTTTATTTTATAAGGTTAAACAGTTGCTCTGCATATATTTCACTGTGAAGCACTGAAACTATGTGAATTACTCTTAAAACTGTTATTTCAACCTGGCATCACAGGGCTGCCTATTCCATTAAGATCCATCCATCAGATCTCTGTAAATCTCATCCTTTCTGAAACCCGTCTCTTCTCCTAGCAGGAGAGACACACAGAGACCGTGTATCAGCTGAGCAGCTCCATCTCTGTAGGAGCGAGTTCTGGAGGATTCTTACAGACTGAACAGTGTCTGCAGTGTCAACAAATTGGCCTTATTCTTTACACAAGACTTGTCACTACATCATGCGCAGTTCACCTACAATATTAGGTCCCCCCATGTTTACATGCTGTGGTTAAATCATCATAGTCGATTCAGTGGTCGAATATCGTCTTTCTGCTCCCCTTCTCATTTTTCTGGGCCACCTGAGTCATCTTGTTTTTGCAGACCAGTAGGTGTGAGTTTTTACTGTTTACATGAACTGTACCTCTTTTATCTTCATACACCTTCAGCGCAGGAGAGCGCAAAATAAAAGCACAATAGATGCCTGCAGTAATACACACAGTGTGTTGTGTTCAGCTGCTTCCTGTTTAGTGTTGCCTTCAGTGGATTATTCACCTGCTGTGTGAATATAAAGCATCTTAGAAGTAAATAAAAGTGGGTAAAATGTGACTGTTTTTTTTATGTTCCTGGCTTACTAAGACCTAGTTTGTGTTTTTCTCTGACAGTTTATTTTTAAACCTGTTTTGTTTTCTCACCCATCATTATTCACTAGAGACAGACGGCAAACATCCAGCCACAGGTGCCCTCAGTGTTGTTTGTCTGCTATTAGCATAATCATTTTTGTTTATTTTTAGGCAAGTTTTATTTCATATTTTATATTTGATGCAAGCAAAAAACAGGCTAAATGGAGAAAGTGAGGCAAAGATCCCAGTATTGATTCTCTCTGAAAAGAGAAAAACAAGAGATGACCAATATCAGTAACATGAAAACACACACAAGGACGAGAAAGAAACTGAGCTGCAGCGGGATTTTGTAAACAGCGTGACATCCAGGAGTTTGAGCACATCTGTGTTCAAAGCCGGAGAATTGTATGTACTTTTATTTTGCAGTTCTCCAAAGCCAGCGTTGCATGTATCACTGTGGCCCAACAAGCCTTCTGAAGCCCATAAAACATGTGCAGAGCCTATTTTAATCTATTCAAAGCAGCATATTTGCATCAGTGAGCCACAGCTAACATCTCCTCACCTGTAGCTCTGCACTGCTGTGTTTCTCAGTGCATTATCACCACCTCCTATCAAGCAGTGGTTTTATTTTCATCCTGTTCTCACATCAGACGTGCAAGTTTGAGCTTAGCTATTTTTAATGGGGAGCGACTGCGCTCTTCAGAGCAGCTGTGTAATCTATAGCATGAAGCACTGACTTGTTTTAACATCATTGCTTGTGGACACTGCAGAGAACAATGGAGAAGATACTGACTTTATACACCTGTAAGTTCCTGCAGTGATGAAACTCTTCAGTTCAACTAGGACGTCAGTCAGAAATCTCAGGCATCAGTAATTATATCAGAGCGGACTGTTGCCACCTGTAGGATACTAGCTAGGAGGGTCATTTTAACTTTACATGCTGCCCTTCATTCTGTTGTAGCATTTGGTATGAGCGTGAAACTTTGCCCTCTATCACATCAGCTCCATGCTTGTTTGTGCATGTGTATATTTGTATGATATACAAACAAGGCCTGTGGTAGTCTGTCCAGGTGTATGCTGCCTCTTGCCCTGTGTCAGCTGGGAAAGTCTCCATCCCCCCCTGTGACCCTAGATAGGATGAGTGGTAAAGATAATGGATGTGTGAGTGAGTCATCTTGTGGACTTGACTTAGTGGCCCACTGTAGACCATGCAGCAGTAAAAGTGAGCTTTTTGCCCTGACCTGAGCCACCCAGGCAGTTAAAGGCTTTATGAAAAGCTGCTACAGGTTCACCCAAAGGTCATCATCATATAACTTAATGACCCTGCAGGCGGTTTGAAAGTGGGGATGAATGTGGCAGCTGTTAATCCTGATCAGCTGTGTTTTATTAGTGTCACCCACTGAGGTATGGCCAGTAAATAAACACTAATATGTTTAGAAACTTCTCATCTTTTGGTCTAACAAATGTGTTTGTGGTCTTGTAGTGATTATAAGCCCACTGTAGCATCAGGTCTGCTCAGTGAATGTTGTGTTTAAGGCTGGAGCTGATGATATGTGCGTGTGTGCGCGCGCCCAGCATCTCCACAGGGAGCATTAGCTGGCTTCAGTGGGCACTGGAGTGTGAACTGCAGTGCTGGTTTGGGGGCTTTTTGAGTGGCACTTAGTGAACACACGCTGCCTGTGTGTTTGTGTGGAAGCACATCAAGTCATGTTGCCTGCATCAATATAAATGCACGGATGTTCTAAGTTTTCACTGTGTTCATGTAAATGCACAAATATCGTATGGTTCTGTAGCTATATTTGTGAATTGCAAACATTTCCTATGTGGTTTTCTGTTAACATCTTCACCCAGTGTACAGTCTATGTCTGTTCAAGCATGTTTCCAGTTTCGATGGTAGCATGAACATGAGTGTGTGTGTGTGTGTGTGTGTGTGTGTGTGTGTGTGTGTGTGTGTGTGTGCTGTGCTCATAAATGCTCACGTCAGCGAGCCTTTCTTGTATCAGCAGCAGCGTGATGCAGAAGAACTCCTTCAGGCATCTAATCGCCTCTGAATGACAGCATGTATGTGTGAGTGTTAGTCTTGTGTGAATCTGTTCCTTGCAGTGTGTGTCGGACAATGCGCTGCCTGCCCTGTTCTATATTAGTTTTAGTTAGAAACTGTTGCTGTGCAGGTTCTCACAACTTCACCTGGCTCTTTGACGGCTAATTGGTTGTGGGGTTAAGGGTAGAAAGCGGTTTAGGTTAGGGTGGGTGTGACTGTTGTGATGGGAGCGTTAGGGTAAATGGCTACGGAATGCATTATATCAGTGAGTGTCCTCACACCTATAGAAAAACCAACATGTGTGTGTGTGAGACAGATTTTGGCTCTGCAGCATAAGTGTAATGGTGAACAGATCACAGGCTATAAATATCTTGTCCTCTAGCTGAAGCAAAGCTAAAAATAGAGCCACAGCTCCCACTGCTGCCTAGAGGACAACAGGAGAGCGGCACCCCGGCCTGAACGCTGACGAAATGGCTTATATGCACTATCATTATTTAGAGCTTTTGGCATCCTTTGTGCATTTAAAGAGAGTCTCCTGGAATTTGAAAAATCACTGACCAGAAAGAAGGAGAGGGGGAAAAACCAAGATGGGAGAGCAGCAAATAATCACCCTCAAAAGCAATATGGTGAAGGAACAAGTATAATATATAAGTCAGAAATAAATAGAACTATATTTATGAGAAGTACCTGCATAAACATAAATAATCCTTGATTTCTGGGTCTAAATGTGGTGCAGCTGCTGCAGAATCTCCTTCTCAGCCTCCCTAGTCAAACCTGGGAGTTGGATCACCTTTGGTTCTGAAGCACCATAACACAGCCAAGTCCGTAATCCTTTAGCCCCAGTTATTCTGGAAACATGAGGAACCTTTAGTTGATTGGTCTTTTTGTTACAGGAAGTGAGCTGAAATATGACACATTCTTTCATCAGCGGATTTATCTGCAGATAAACAGTAAGAGAGTAGAGTTTCAATCAAAACAGCAAATTCGATAAGTTAGAACAGGACAGGATTACTTTTAAGAATTTCCATCTGTGCCTATGCATGCAAGTGTGCAGCTGTGTGTTGCATGGTCGCTGCCCTATATACACCTGATCCTGACTGTCATCATTTATCATCAAAAAGGAGGAAGAGGAGAGAAATAACACACACTCTGATACACAGTCAGCTCTGTCATAACATCACAACACACTGGGGAGAGCAAGTTGTATAGTGTGTGTGTGTGTGTGTGTGGGAGAGCAAGTTGTATAGTATGTGTGTGTGTGTATTTGGGGTGACAGCTGATGTCTGAAATTAGGAGAAGCCAAAGTCAAATCCCCTGAAGAGATGGTGAGATGCTTGGCTGAGCTCACATCACACACCACACACACACACACACACACACATCAGTACACTGACAGAAAATATTAATGTCCTCACCATGTGTGTGTCACCAGGAATGAAGGACTCTTTATGCAGCATTTTATCATTAATAAATCATGATTATATCATATCATGGTTTAACTTGATTAAGCCTCATTACCTGCTTATTTTCTCGGGATTGCCCCCCACGTGACCCCGTTCAGGGACTAAGCGGTAGAAAATGAATGAATGAATGATTCAAGTGTTTATGTGCAGGAGTTAGACATGTCAAGGGCCTCATCCTTTGAAAAGTGAATACATCGTCATTTTCAAAGAATCCTCCAGATGTGCCAAAACTTCTCTCATGTCTGTGACTGTGATGACTGACAGCTCGGTGAGTCCTCTGTTGGTTCAGGATAAAACAGTTAGGTTTTTGTGACGTTTGCTTTTAGATTCTGGGTCAGTGTTAGATGAGTTGAGCAACTGTGGTGCTTTGTTTCTTCCACAATGTAGTCCTAACGTTCTTTCAAACTATAGTAGAGCCACTTGGCGTGCTCAATGTGATTTCACCAGGTTATAAAAAGGGAGAAAAAAAAAAAAAACACATTCACGTGCCTAGAAACCAACTCCACACTGCTTCAAACAACCCCAAACACACACAAACTCTAGGAAACATTACAGCAAGAGGATGTGGTGCAGTTTATATTTAGGCAGAGACTCTCATGCTCTCACATGTATCAGATGCCTGTTGTCATTAAATTTGGAGTGTACTGATGACACACTGGGATCCACGAATGCATGCACACAAATGCAAGTGCACACAAATATAAACACTCTGCCATGCTGAGTGACACTGATGCACACATTCTTATTGTTCTGATCTTAGAGCCCGAGCTACTGTCATTCTTCATTAGCGGTCTTACTGCGTGTTACACAGAGAGTGAGCAGCCGAGTGGCATCTCTCAGGGGGAGGCTAAATACAGTCTGAGGTTAATGCTGTTATGTTATTTGATATTAATGAATATTCAGATAATAGCAATGACTCACTGTGTCTGCAAAATCTGTTTCGAAATGGACCTGAATTCAACTTTAAAACCCAGTATGACATGGGAACAGGTCACTTGTTTACTTTGTTTCATTACTTCTGACTTCAGTTTTCATCGTACGTCCATTTTCTACAACCACAGCAACATTTTAGGAACCGCAGTATGACATCTGACGCCTTGATCAGCTTATTTCTCCAGCACTATGTCGTCACTAAGTGGGCTTCAGAAGATGTCACGTCAGCTACAGCAGGTGGCAGCTTTAGTTCCACACATGCATGTTTGATCTAAAAAGCTAAAGCCTGCCTTGCCTCAGCCATCACACCTACTGGGCCAAGACTTAGAGAATAAACAAGTTTTATCAGTCTTGGTGCTTTCTCTGGATCAGCTGAAATGAAAAAATGATGATGGAGTGTTTTTTTTTTTACCTGTTTCTGTTTCTGTGTCCTGCAGCAGAAAATCTCAGAACCATCTGAGCAGGACGCTTGCAGAAAGGCTGGTCATGTGGTGATGAAGACCTGATTAACTTCTGGTGAAAAACTGACGCATCTTGATGCTTTCCTCGTTTATCAGTGTGGTGAGTGTCATCTAGTTCAACTTACTTTTGTTTCACATCACTCACCGGGACATTGTGACCTTTGACTGTTCCACTGTAAGTGAGCATCAACAAAAATACCTGCCATGTCAGTGTAAAATCAGTTAATATGTCACATTTCATTGACCTCGTTTACTGCCCTCTCACTGTGGATAAGAGCATGAGATAAAATAGATTTATACTAAATATTTTTTTAAAAATCACAGGCTTTGTATGCCCATACACCTGACCTCGTTCCTATTAGGTGTTGCTGCAATATACTGACATCATGCAGCTGCAGCCTTTGCTGCGGAGACACTGAGAGGACGCTCAGTGTTTTTTGTGGACACCCAAACACTGCTGTTGATTTTCTGCTGAGAACAGTCTCACATGATTTGTTAGTTGTAATGCATGACACAAGAAGCTGTGGAGACTCAATAGGCAGTAACTAGAGGTCGGGACCTCCCTCTGTCTTTTCCTTAGTGTTTTTAACTTTATTTTCTAGAAGGAGCTAAATCCTGATGTGACCTTGCTCTGCTTGATCCAACGCTGAGCTCCACCTCACAGAGGTGCAAAAATAAAAAAAGGATTGGAGGCTAATTGCCTTAGGAGAGGAGGACGAGGATGGGTAGGTAAAGGAGACAGAGGTCAAGGTCAAAGGAAGAAAAAAGGGATGTTTTGGAAACGTGACAAGGGAAAAAGGCAAGAGGGAGAGCGGGTGAACAAGGTGATGGAGAAGTAGGAGGAAGATGAGGTAGAGGTGGAAGAAGCTGAAGGACTATGCAGTCAAAAAAGAGGGGTGGGTGGGGGCTTAAATGGGGCTTAAGTGATTCAGTCAATAAGAGGTTCTTCTACTGGCCTTGACTCACACCTGACTCCTCCCAACAGCGTTTCTATCACTTAACCAGCAGCAGATAAATCACACATTGCATCAGGGAAGGCGAGGAGGTCAAACCAATTCACTGCATGTAAGATACATATAAAACCAGCCATTTCGCTTTTATGTCCATGTCCCTGCAGTGGACTCATGCTGAGATCAGTTGTCCATCGTGCTCAGAAATAAGTTACCTGAAAATAATCTCCCAGTAATTCAAACACAAAGACAACTGCCTAAAAACAGCTGCTTTTATCTTAAAGGATAATTAAATGTTGTTTTCATAATTTTAGCCATCAGGGGCCTATTTCAAGAAGGCGGTCATTGTCAACTAAATCAGCCACATGCAGTCAAATCTTGTTTCATCGCTCTGCTGTCTGTCTAAATCCTCAGTTAGAGACGTTCAAGTAAAAGCAGCGTTCAGTAGACTTGTCACAATAAATTGGAAAATGAAGGCAATAATCTGATCTAGTGTGCACAACTCATGTAATGCAAACATAGACAGGAAGGCATACTCTTTTGTGTATGTGAGAGCAAATGAATGTCTTGTTGCATTCTGAGATTGCCCAAAGTACACGGTGTACGTTACAAACTCAGGGGCTGTGGTGGGACAGATTTACAAAGCATTCACTCAGACACAACCACACACACACGTATACGCAAATGTACGCTGGGATTTTAGTCTGCACGACTACACAGACATGAAACTGCACACACTTTTCTCACACACACACACGGTGTCAGGGGAGTAGACAGATGCATGGTGACAGGGCTGCAGTGTGCTGGATTAATACACTTAGTGTTCCACATGTCAAAAATCATCACTGCAATCATTTCAGATGATTGCAGAAGGTTTCAGATGTCTCTCTCTCGCTCTCTCTCTCTCCACCCTCTGTCTGATTACTTCCACCACATCCAGCTGTTGAATCATCCAGCCATCTAGTCAGCCAGTCAGTAACCTAACACCCAGCATGCTATCACACCACAAGATAGCAGACAAACAAGGCAACTGGTCAGCAAAACAACTAGCTTCACTTCTATTTAGGTTATTAAATACACAGTCGTCAAGCTAGCGAAGTTAACTATCGCCACATATAGTCAGTCAGCCAGTAAAGCCAGTCCCCAACAGGCTACTCAGATAGATTACAGATTGCAGACCAGTGCGTCCGTGTGGTTACATTTTGCATAGCAGGGGGTTGAGTGCACAACATGTGCAGGTGCACGGCTTCCAGCATTTCCTTCATGTGCACCCTTGCTGCTTCAGACATATTCTGTACCTTAAGGCAGTGATCACACTGGATGGATAGAGTGACATTTTCTGATTTATGTCTGTATCTCTAGAGACTTTGAGATGTATCCATCATGTGTTTTAGAGGAATAGCTTGTGTATGAGTTGGGACAAAAAGTTCAGCTCTGAGCAGATTAAAGCTCTACATCCTTAAAGATTTCTCTCTCTAGTCCAACTGAAAGTCCACAGGGATGAGCACAGACCAGCAGAACCATCAACAAGACCTGAGGAAGGGCTTCAGTTCTTATTGCTTGTCATTTTTTGTTGACAGATAGTAATCGGACAACCCACCTCCAACATTCAGGTAGCCAATCCCGGCCGGCAATCGGGCAAAGGCGGGGTACACCCTGGACAGGTCGCCAATCCATCGCAGATCCAGCCAGTTTGTCCGTTAGAAAACTAGTCAGCCAGCCCACAACTCACACAACGCCTACCCATAATAACAGGAAAGGCAAACATACCAGTTATATTCAGATGATAAGCTATTCAACGGTCAAAGGTCGAGTCTGGAGAGGTGGCTAATGCTGCTGCTATGAAAACAATGATGTGTAGAGATCGTCTGGGATCACATATCCCTTTGTGGACATGTACAGGCATGCTTATGTGTGCATGGAGAGGTGCAGAGAGGAGGTTTTGAGGAAGCTGAGGGTCATGAGGGAGGTAAACAGTCACAGTAGCTGCATTTTAGGATCTCCCTGCTGCTGTTTATGGCCACCGGTCACTTCCTACTTTGTGTGGCCTTTAGTTTGGCTTCCTGCCCAACAGGGCCACCAGTGCCTGATAAAATGCTCATGTACTAGACCTCTGGTAATCTTGCTAAGAGGCCTTGTTCCAGTGGCTCAGCCAGCCTGGTACAGCATTGAAAATCCGTGTTTTATCAGTAAACAACAGCAGCCTTATGTTTGAATAAAACCTTTTATGACTGTAAAGTTGCTTGGTTGAATACCAAGGTCAGAAAGGAGTAGCCATGTTTGAGTAAAACCTTTTTATGACTGTAAAGTTGCTTGCTTGAATACCAAGGTCAGAAAGGAGTAGCACTTCCTGAGTTACCCTTGAGCAGGACATTTAATACCAGACTGCTTCAGCATAGCTGTTAAGAGCCCAGTGCACTGGCTAATGACAACACCTCACGCTGAGAAGCAACTGAATGTTCTTAAGTAGCACAGTTTCTGCAAGGTGCAGAGGGGGAGGATGAGGCAGAGACAGCACAGCTGAAAGAAAAATATTAAGAGCAGTGATTGGCAAAAGAAACCAAATAAGTCTGGAGAAGCTGCTTTACAGCTTTGAAGCAGCTCATTTGTTCATTATGCCTTCAGTATCATGCAGCCAGAGCAAGTGTCTGTTCCCATAAAGCTCACTGAAATGTAGCATGATGTGGCTCAGACTATAAAGTTTGAACATAAGCAATGCACTAGATGGGGCCCTTAGTCCTGGTGTTTTAGCTCATGGTCTGCCTGTACTGTATATGGAACAGGATCCTGGTTCTGTTCTGTGTTTTCATTCTGAACTGGGCTGTCCATAATGTACATACAGTGATAGTACTGTCAATATGAGCCAGTCCTTGTTACACTGTGGCCTTGACTTATGTTAAAGTTGTTCATGTCCAATGAAACAGAGTGTCTCTAGTTTCTGTCACATAACACATTTCTGAGTTAACGACAACAACAAAATATGTGGACAGTGTATAATTTCAGGAATGATCACTTGGTCATATTGACTTTTTATGACTGTTAAGCGTTATGGAGCTGTGCAGGACTATTTGTCTCCACCTGCACCTTTATCACCTGTGTTGTTATATCCAAAGCGTGTTCTCCCAAAGAGGGAGAAGTCACTTAAATAAACCACACTAATATACAAGTGCACTCCTTTGACACATGACATCAGTCCACCTGCTGCTGTGACCTAGTGTAGTTTGGTGGGAGGGTTTAGTTGTTGCCCCAAATCCCCTTTGATTGGATAAATGGTACTTATGAATAAACACAGCATCAGATTTGCATTTAGCCAAGTCATTTAAATCCACAGTTGGCACTTTTTCTCTGTTTATTTATTTATTTGATGAAACAGATGGATTTTCAGTGTTTAGTTCAGCTCTAGCCAAACTCTAAACTCAGTGCACCCAACACACACTGTGCCAGCATATTCTGTCTGCTTACACCTGAACTCCTGTCGTACCGCCACACCTTCCCCGACAAACTGCAGCACAGCAAAACAACTCAAAGGTGTTTTTCCATCTTTAGTTTAAAGGAAAAGCATAATTTACATTGTAGCTCAATTTTTCTTTTTCCTGGAAACAGATTCATCTATAACCACCTGATGAGCGTTAGCCTTCAGACATTTGCTCCCACCCCCTCTAATAGATCTTAGCTTACAAGGAGGAATTTGTTTATTGACTGAGATGGAGCTCGAGCTGTAAAGTCCTGAACAAGGCTGTCATTCCTGAGCTGGATCTTAGTGTTGAAAGCTGAGCTTAGAGTGGGACGTTTGGAATGAGCGTGCTCCATAGGCTCGCACCGGCTCACCTCTACATAGGTAGAAATAGATAGGAGCACTTTAGTGCACACAATTTTACTTTCATCAAACACGTGCATTCATAGCACTGTAGAAAAAAACATGCACCTACACCTTTGTCTCAAAACTGTTAACAAAAATAACTGAGGTCATTTCATAAACATACATATATTGATTTATAAACAGATTAAATGCAGTGTAAGGCATAAAAAATGGTGGATTTTTGAACAGGAACTAAAAAACAGGATCATTTCCTCTGCTCTCTCAGTAAACAGCAAACAGAAACTAGCCGGTGAACACAGTGAAGAGCCAGATATTTCCCTAAGGAGCTGG